AGAGAAAGGAAAAAGAACGAAAAGAGGTGTGGGGAAGGGAGGGAAGGAAGGGGTGGGGGGACAAAGGGAGGAGGAGAGGAAAGGGGAAGAGTGAGGGGTGGGAGAGAATTGGAAGAGGGGGGAAAGGATGGAGAGAGGGAGAATAGGGGGAGGGGAGAGGGGTGGGGAAGAGAAAGGGGTAGGAGGGAGGGGCAAGGGAGGAGGGGAAAGAGGGAGAGAGGCAAGGGGAGGGAAGGGAGGGGGTAAGAATGGCGTGTGCGTCAGCTGTTAGGTACAATTATGTTATTATATATTGATAAATGAGGATTAAGAAATGTGTGGCATGCATGTTTACACACACACACACACACACACGCACACGCACACACACACACACACACACTAAACCTAAACTAATCCACCAAATCTAACTGACCAAAATTAACCTAACCTAACTACTGCTGTTCATTCCTCATCTTCTTTTTTTTATCCTCCTTTAATCCCCCCTCTTCTTCTCACCTCCTTCTTCTCCCCACTTCCCCACTTCTTCTTCCCCTCTTCTTCTCCCCCACTTCTCCCCCTCCTCCCACAATGCACCACAAGCCAGGTGACATACCTCTGTGGTGACGTCACACTCTGTTTACATCTGCCTCCCAGAAACCGTCAGTGATCTACTTACATACATGTGTGCACCTGCCTTACCTTACTTACATATGTACACCTGACATATATTAATGTGTACATCTGGCCTATTAAAATAACTGAATTTGTTCTACGTGTGTTTAAATGTGTTCACTACTACACAAACAAGTAAAGCACTTACTAGTACATGTACAATCAATAAAGATAGATGTACACACACACACACACACACTGCTTAGTTAGTTTCCTGGATTTCCTGCACAAAAACCTGCAGAAACGTAAGACATCACTGGCCGTTGCCCTTGTTGGTTTCAGGAAGGCTTTTGACCTTGTTGATCACTGCACTGTTATCAACAAGGCCATTGCACTAGGGCTGCCCGCCAACCTGGTGCTAGTGCTTGGTGGTAGAGAGAGGTCGGGGTAAGTGGGAGTCAAAAAACAAGCAGGTCCTGGGGAGTAAAATTGGTTACTCAGGACCAGGGTAAAACGGGACCAGGGAAGGGTAGGTTTAAATGTATACTATAGTATACAAACAGTAGGAGCGTTAGAAATAAAATAGACTTGCTGAGAGCGGTTGTATGTACTGAGAATGTAGACGTCATAGCAATCACCGAAACTTGGATGAATCTGGCGAGCAAAAACGTTTTATCAGAGTACAACCTTTTTCACAAGGACAGGGAAGGTAGGAAGGGGGGAGGGGTCGCACTCTTCATTGGGGATACATTAAAATGTTGTATTAATAATTCAATAAAGGGTTAAATTGGAACCAAGTCTGTATGGGTAGAAATTGCGGAAGGAAGAGAAAAACTAATTATGGGAGTGATTTACAGGCCCCCAAGTCTGGGGAAAGAAGCATCTCAGCCCATATGGCAGGAAATGAGTAGGGCAGCAAGATACAACAACCTATGCATTATGGGGGAATTCAACTTCAGAAATATTGACTGGGACAACATTGTAGGTGACTATGAATCTGAAGACTTCCTAGATGCAGTACAGGACAATTTTTTGAAACAACTAATTACAGAACCTACTAGAGGTGACAATATATTAGACCTAGTATTAACAAATAAAGAAAATATCAGAGATATCACAATAGGGGAAGAACTAGGGAACAGTGATCACAGGGATATCAGGTTCACCCTAAATTGGGAAACGAAAAACAATGACAATATGGTCAGTCCCAAACTTTCGATCTGCGGATTATCGGGTTAAGAAGGTACCTAGGTGAGGTCGCCTGGGAACAGTCAGGTCAGTCCCCAGTAGGAACGCGTGAGGTCTCAGGTTACACAACAATTGATCATTACTGTAATATATTTACTCGTATACTACGTAAAGCACAAGAACAACATATACCATACAGAAAAATTAGGTCAAATAAGAATGAGCCAAGGTGGATGACCAGAAAACTTAAACATGACATAGGAATAAAGAAAGGAATTTATAAGAAATTAAAGGGAGGGGAGGAGCAGCTCAGAAATAGGTATAATGAACTTTCTAGGAATGTTAAGAAAAATGTAAGGAAAGCAAAGAGGGACTACGAAATCAGGATAGCAAGAGAATCCAAGGCGAATCCCAAGGGATTTTTCCAGGTATAGAGGACAAAGGTCAAGGACAAAGTTGGGCCTTTAAAGTCAGGGAGGGAGGAAATGTTCGATGACAGTGGGGAAATAAGCAAAGCATTAAACAGCTACTTTTTATCAGTTTTCACAGAAGAAATTCACGAGGAAATTCCAGAGGTGGAACTAATATTTAGGGGAAATGAAGAAGAGAAATTAAAGAATATCACTATCAGAAAAGATAATGTTCTTAAGAAGATAAATGAATTAAAGAAGACAAAATCCCCAGGGCCGGATGAAATTTTCCCTCGAGTTTTGAAAGAGTGTAAGGAACAGATTAGCGGACCCCTCGTAAATGTATTTACAAAATCATTAGACACGAGAGTTATGCCAGACTTGTGGAAACAGGCAAATGTAGTACCCATATTTAAAAAGGGAGACGGAGCATCAGCGTCAAATTACCATCCGATTAGTTTGACGTCAGTAGTGGGGAAATTTCTTGAATCAATTATAGCAAATAGCATCCGATTGCATTTAGAGAAAAGCAAATTAATCTACGATTCTCAACATGGGTTTACAAAGGGAAAATCTTGTCTAACAAATCTGCTGACGTTTTTTAGGAAAGTCTTCGAGGTAGTAGATAATGACGAAAATTACGATGTTATTTACTTTAGACTTTAGCAAAGAAAAGCGTTTGACAGAAATGCCACATCAGAGGCTTCTGAGAAAGTTTAGGCTCATGATATCGAGGAAAGTTTTAAATTGGATAAAGTCATGGCTTACCGATAGAACACAGAGGGTCAGCGTAGATGGTGGTAAATCTGAGTGGGGCTGTGTAACCAGTGGGGTTCCCCAGGGGTCAGTACTGGGCCCACTCTTGTTCATAATCTACATAAACGATCTAGATACTGGGATAAGCAGTGACGTAACTAAGTTTACGGATGACACCAAAATAGAGCGGCAGATTAATTCAGGGCAGGATGCAAATGCACTACAGGAGGATTTAAATAAACTGCAGGAGTGGTCAGAAAAATGGCAAATGAAATTCAACACCAGCAAGTGCAGCGTAATTAATATTGGAAGAGCAAATACTGTCAATATATACAGCCTTAACAACATCAACCTGGAGAAGTCGACTTGTGAAAGAGACTGAGGGGTACTTGTAAGCACGGACCTACGGCCTAGAAAACAGTGCGTTAATGTTCGAAATAAGGTAAACAGAGTATTAGGTTTTATATCTAGAAGTGTAAGTAATAAGAGTGCAGAGGTCTTATTGCAACTATATCTTGCGCTAGTCAGGCCGCACCTCCATTATGCGGTTCAGTTCTAGTGCCCTTATTATAGAATGGATATCAATTCACTGAAGTCGGTGCAGCGAAGAATGACGAAAATGATTCCGGGACTTAGAAACCTTTCATGTCAAGATAGGTTAAATAAACTAAACATGCATTCCCTAGAAAGACGAAGAGTGCAGAGAGATAAGATAGAAGTATTTAAGTGGGTGAAAGGAATCAATAAAGGGGATATAGATAAAGTTCTTATAGTATCCGAACAAGGTAGGACTTGTAGCAACGGATTTAAGTTGGATAAGTTTAGGTTTAGGAGGGAGATAGGAAGGAACTGGTTCACAAATAGGGTGGTTGACGAGTGGAACAAGCTTAGCAACTTTGTAGTAAGTGCTGGAACGCTGGAAAGTTTTAAAAGGAGGCAAGATAGATTCATGGATGATAGAGAGTGGTAGTAACTCTCGACAGGAGCTGCCATGCACAGGCCAACCGGCCTATTGCAGACTCCTGATTTTCTTGTTCCTATGTTGTAATAAGTTATTTATGTCCAATGTATATTTTCAGCCTTCAGGCTGCAGAACTTTTTCAATAAACCGTTCATTATTATTATTATTATTAACACGGCACTGTGCTTGAACCCCTTCATTTCCTCAACTGTAACATCAACCACCTATGTTACGTGTATAAAGTGAAGATTAAGTGTACATTAAGTGTCATGAAAGTGTACATAGGTGTCAAAAAATGTACAATAAGTCAATAAATGTATGTCAAGAGCAGTCATATGAGTGTATAATGCCCACAACACTTTACCCATACTCCTCTAGGGTGTGTAGACGGCTTGGGGGAAACTGAAGTGAAATGCACAAAGGAGAGTTTACCTGCAACACTAATTAGCTTAAGACCATTACCTGAGCCCCTGAGTTCTTCCTCGGCTAGTACACGTGTTCTATGAGGTACTTACCCCCTAATACACGTGTTCTATGAGGTACTTACCCCCCTAATACATGTTCTATGAGGTACTTACCTCTAGTACACGTGTTCTATGAGGTACTTACCCTCTAGCACACGTGTTCTATGAGGTATTCATTTCTAGTACACGTGTTCTATGAGGTACTTACCCCTAGTACACGTGTTCTAGAGGGTACTTACCCTAATACACGTGTTCTATGAGGTATTACCCCAATACACGTGTTCTATGAGGTACTTACCCCCTAATACACGTGTTCTATGAGGTACTTACCCCCCTAATACACGTGTTCTATGAGGTACTTACCCCCTAATACACGTGTTCTATGAGGTACTTACCCCCTAATACACGTGTTCTATGAGGTACTTACCCCCTAATACACGTGTTCTATGAGGTACTTACCCCCTAATACACGTGTGTCTACGAGGTACTTACCCCCTAATACACGTGTTCTATGAGGTATCTCCCTTACCTGCTGCATTACTCAGGTAGGAGAGAGAGAGAGAGAGAGAGAGAGAGAGAGAGAGAGAGAGAGAGAGAGAGAGAGAGAGATAAACCAGTGTTACCAACCTGAGCCAGACAGTAGTGCCAGTAGTACCAACGGTAATGTGAGATAAGCGGCCACCCGCCTCACCTGTGGGAGATACCAGGTAAGGTAGAGTTAATGACGTCACGAGGGAATGTACCTTTGTTATATATTTATGTCACTTAATGTAATACTTATGTTATTTAATGTACCCACTCATAATACTTAATGTACTTAGCTACTTACATTACTTGTGATTGTACATAGGTTAATTAATAATGATACCACACACACACACACACAATGATGGAACGTACGTGTGTGTGTGTGTGTGTGTGTGTGTGTGTGCTACAAGCTGGTCGTGGTAATTATGTCCTTATTGCCCAGAGCTTCACCAAAGGGAACCAGGCGTGAAAATTACATTACGAGAGGAAGAGGTGAGGGTGGAGGGGGTGTTGAGGGGGAGGGGGTGTTGAGGGTGGAGGGTGTGAGGGTGGTTGAGAGGGGGGAGGGGGCAAGGAGGGGTGGAGGGGTACAGGGGAGGGTGTTGAGGTGGAGGGGTGTTGAGGGGGGAGGGGTTGATGATTGAGGTGGGGTTTGAAGTAGGGTTGTGGGGGGTTAAAGGCACCATATTGGCATCACCTGAGGCTTGGGCGAGATACACACTAAAGCTGAGAGGTTAAATGTCCACTGCCACCCACTGCAACCACCTGCCTTCTCTCCACCCACTTCAACCACCTGCCTTCTCTCCACCCACTGCAACCACCTGCCTTCTTCCACCCACTGCAACCACCTGCCTTCTCTACCCACCCACTGCAAACCACCTGCTTCCACCCACTGCAACCAATTGCCTTCTCTCTACCCACTGCAACCACTTCCGCCTCACTCCACCCACTGCAAACCACCTGCCTCCTCCCCTCCACCCACTGCAACCACCTGCCTTCTCTCCACCCACTGCAACCACCTGTCTTCTCTCCACCCACTGCAACCACCTGCCTTCTCTCCACCCACTGCAACCACCTGTCTTCTCTCCACCCACTGCAACCACCTCCCTCACCTCCCCCCTCCCCCTCCTACTCTTTACAATAATTTGTAAAGTCAAGTCATAGTACTCAAATGGTTATCATACTCAAGGGGTTACGTCATCGTACTCAAGGGGTTAAGTCATCATATTCAAAAGGGGTTAAGTCATCGTACTCAAGGGGTTAAGTCATCGTACTCAAGGGGTTAAGTCATCGTACTCAAGGGTTGTCATCATATCCGCAAGCAAGGTCATCGCACTATGTTAAGTCATCATATTCAAAAGGGATTAAGTCATCGTACTCAACATACCAATTATAGTACTCAGGGGTTAAACAACATTCCCAGAATTATATCAAGTTAATTAATCATAGTTAATTATAATTTAACCTTTTCTTTGTTAGAGATTATAAAGTTAGGTATCTGGCTACTGTATATGGGAGGGATGGGCTATATAAGAGGTAAACATCAGCTGTGGGGGTCAGTATGTCCTTAGTTGTCGAGGTGGAGTATGCGAGGTTAACACAGCATTATTTTTATGAATTTTACGTTACAACATAAATTCACGATATTATTTCTACTCTAATATATTGTTTAATTCTCATATAAAGTTGAAGTAAAATTGTGACTGGAAACTACCATGAAACAACAATACTATTACACTCTTCTTAATTACTATGGAGGATGTGGGTGTGGTTCCTCTCATGACGTCAGAGCTGAGGTTGACAACACGAAGGAGAAATTATTACTTTTTTAAACAAGTTTTTAGACGAAATAACGATTTTTTTTTTGCAATTTTTTTATATATTCGGGGGGAAACTTTAATAAGAAAAAAAATTTAACATCGTACATACACATCTTAAATTAATGTACAGGAGATAAAAGGTTAAGTTATCGCGCATCATCATCTCCTCGTCAGCCATGTTGTTTGGTCAGCTGACGAAGGTAAACAATGCCAAGAATATGAACTGGATATAGAGTTTCCTATGACGCAACACTGATGGCTAAAAAGACCCAACCGAGAATAAGAGAATGGTGTACATGTGTGTGTGTTGTGTGAGATAGATAGATAGATAGATAGTAGGTAGTAGGCAGCTACCAAACAGGGAGGTACTACCGCCTGTGAAGATATTGGAAGCATAATGTGTTGTCTAATGGTAGACCCTGCTGCCATATGTGACCAAGTCCCAGGTTGGTGATCTGACTTTCTGCCTCATTTACACACAATTGCAGGGTCTCAATTGTTTCTCTTACTACTAGCAACACAACATACATATATTGTTTCTCACTATTAATATTTTTTTTTTATTTATGGTTCTTTATTATTATTATTATTATTAATAATATTATTATTATTATTATTATTATTATTATTATTATTATTATTATTATTATTATTATTATTATTATTATTTTGCCCCCAGGCCCTGATGTGGGTCGTTGGCCTGTGCCCTGGTGGGTTAATCCCATAAAAAAAAGAGAGAGATAGAGAGATGATGATGATGATGATGATGATGATGATGATGATTACCCAGAAAGAAAGAAGGAAAGAAGAGGGAAAAAATAATTTGAGTGAATGAAAAAAAATGAATGAATTATGAGAATGAACAACATGAAATAAAAGAACACGAACAGTTACACACAGTCTAAGAGAACAGAGACACATAACAGTGATTTATTCTGTGCTGTGTGAGGTCAAGTGAACGGCTTATGACTCACGCCTCTTCCTCACTGATGAGAATGAACCACACGGCTTGTTTAAAATACGTTCAGCGACGTAAAAGATGAACGGTTAATATTCTCATTACGTTCACTAAAGCAGAAAAATACGAACGGATTATATTCCCATTACGTTCAGACAGCAAAGCAACAGAACACGAACGGCACAACAGTCAGGCTTACTATACGTTCAATGAGACGAACTGAAGAACGGATACAGGGCCAACACGTTCGGAGGGCGTACTGAAGCGTCAACAACAACAACCACTCAAGAACGACGATGGATTCATCCGACTTGCTGACGTCATAAAACAAATGATTATTCGAGGTGGTTAATAATAATAATAATAATAATAATAATAAACAAAAACAATAAATAATAACGTACGATAAATAAAGACAAAACATAAACCTCCCCTAATAACATTCCGGTAATAAAAAAAAACGAAAAAAAAAGCGCGAAAACGGAAAGAAAAATGCCGGGAGAAAAAAATTAGGCGCGAAAAAGATGAGTTGAAATAAGATAGTTGTGACGACACCCAAGTCTAGAGAATAAAAACAGAACACCATTGATTACAGAACATGTATACCACGTGTCACAACCAAGCCGTAGAGGGGAGAGGTGGAGTGGGGTAAGAGGGAGACAGAAAAGAGAGGGAGAGAGGGGGAGGGAGATTCACACCTGCAATGCAACTTGTAGTTAATGACCTTTATTTTATTATTATTATTATTATTAGTAGTAGTAGTAGTAATAGTAGTAGGACAGGGAGCCTTCTTCGACATCAGGATTTTTTATCCCATGGCCGCATGTCACCGTAACTTAGCTCTCGATGCTGCACACAGGAGGAACGAGAACGACAAGATAAAGGCATATGGGGAGAGAATTCAGAACGTTGATCAAGGCAGCTTCACTCCTCTAGTGTTCACAACCTCTGGTGGGATGGGACCAAAGTGCAAGATGTTTCTACGCCAGACTCGGAGGTGATCTCCGAACAAAGCAGCAGCCCAGAAGTTATGTTACAGCCTGGATGAGATGTCGACTGTCCTTCTGTCTCCTTAAGTCGGCTTTGCTCTGCCTTGGGAACAGAGCATCGGCCCCAAAGCCGACAACAGTTGCAGATATTGACTATGAGGCTACAGTCACTGAATGCCGCATAGATCTGCTGCTCAGCTAACTCAACACAGCTAGGGTAGTTACTTATGTATTAGGATATTTAATATTAAGGTAATAAAATGGTGTAGTCGTAGTAGGTGATATCATCATCATTATTATTATTATTATTATTATTATTATTATTATTATTATTATTATTATTATTATTGCACCTGCCCACCTGGCCCACACCTGCCTGGCCCACCACCTGGCCCACCACCTGGCCCTACACCTGGCCCCACCCCCCACCTGGCCCACCACCTGGCCACACGCCCACCACCTGGCCCCACCACCTGGCCACCACCTGGCCCACCACCTGGCCCACCACCTGGCCCTACACCTCACCCACTAATTAGGGCGACTCACACAATCAATACCAGTATTTAAAGGCCTTGATAAGATACGGGAGACAAAGACCATTTTCCGTGTCACGCATTTAGTGGGGTTCTGTTGTGTTGCTTGGTGGAGCGATTAGTGGGGGATTAGTGGGGTTAGTGGGGATTAGTTGCCTGAGAGGGTTGAAATTAGTCCAGGATTAGATAGAGAATGTTGTTGAGAAAAATGTGTGTGTGTGTGTTTGTGTGTGTGTGTGTGTGTGTGTGTGTGTGTGACTGGTTGGTTGGCTAACGGAAAAATAATCACATTAACATTTCCTCGCTAACTTTTTTCACATCGGCACACAATTTGGCGAAGAGGGGAAAGAATTGGCGGGGCGAACAAGCAGGCGTGATGGAACAAGAGTTACATAGTTTGGTGAGTGAGGCGGAGTGATGTGTAGTCACGTTACTCTGGCCTCTGTCTGTGTGATATTCTAGACTCAACTTAACCTAGCAAACCCAACTTAATCTAACCAATCTAACCTAATCTCCCTTAACAACCAAATTTAACCTAACCTAACAAAAATAACACAACCTAACCTAACCCAACTTACCCTAACCTAACCAAATTTAAACCTAACCTAACCTAACTTACCCTAACCTAACCAAATTTAAACCTAATCTAACCTAACTTACCCTAACCTAACCAGCTGACCAGACATACAACAGGTAGTGCTAATTAACGCGTGGTGGAGGAGCACAGGTGAGAGGTGAGGTGTTCTATCTAGTCTTACTGAAGAAAAAAAAAAACACCCTCACTACCGTTGTGTTCCAATTAGTAGAGATGTGAGCAAGTCTCTCTCTCTCTCTCTCTCTCTCTCTCTCTCTCTCTCTCTCTC